CATTACACCCTTTCTGCACTCTAGGGAGACCTATAATAAAATCCATCGAAATACTCTCCCATTTCTATTCAGGAATATTAAGCGGCTGAAACAACCCTGATGGCCTTTGGTGTTCTGTTTTCACTTGTTAACAAACCAGGTACTTAGCTACAAAATCTCCAATATCCTTCTTCATACTTGGCCACCAATAGCCTTTCTTTAAGTCTTGATACATCTTGGTTGCTCTAGGATGAGCAGTGTATGGTGTGTCATGAGCCTTCGTAAGAATTCTCTTCTTTAACTCAACATCTTGAGGAATACAAAAACGACTTCTGAAACGGAGGACACCATCTAACAGATGGAACTCTGGTATCTTACCCTCAAGCACTTGTTGACTTATTTTCTGACACCACTCATCGGCAGCTTGCTTTCCTCTGATTTCTTCCAATAAAGTAGACTGAACCTCTAGCCTGGCAATCCTTCCTGGTATGACCTCAATCTGTTCTTTGCACATTCTTCTATTAATTCTTTTAGCCTTGTGAGTCGGGACAAGTAAGCTTTTCTACTCAAGGCATCGGCTACTACATTGGCTTTCTCTGGCTGATACTTAATTTCACAGTCATAATCTTTAACTAGCTCTAACCATCTCCTCAGTCTCATATTCAGCTCTCTTTGGGTGAAGAAATACTTCAAGCTTTTATGATCTGTATAAATGTTACTCTTTGCTCTAGAAAGAAATCATTACATTTTTCTAGAGATCGTTCTCGTAATCGTCTTCCTCGTACAATTCCATCTAAAGCAGAAGCCAGTTCATCAACTACAACTACTAAAACCAACGACAGGCACACATCAAACGTTTGGATGCATTTCGTAAAGTTTTATGAGACAAAAAATGGAGTTCAAGTGAAGAAAGTAAGATGCAAGTATTGTATAAATCTTTATAAAGCTAATGCAGGTAATGGTACTAGTACTTTAAAAAGGCATGCTGGTAAACATATAAATCATCATGGAAATAGAGAAATCAATCAAACTCAAATAACTAGTACGGGTAATACTTGGTGTTATAATTCTGATATATGTAGAGAACAATTAGCTTTATATATTACTGCAACTGATCAACTTGTTAATATGACTAAAGATAAATATTTTGAAAGATTTATTAAAAAATCATTTTTACCATAATTTAAAAATTATTCTAAAACTGCAACTAGGAATGATTTAATGCAAGTTATTTAACAGAATGAAATTAGAATTAAGAAATAAAATATATAGTTGTCATGTTAGTGTGGCTCTAACTGCCGGTATTTGAAGTGGTAGAGCTAACAAGATTATATTTGTGTGATTAGTCATTATTTTGATAACGAATGTAAATGAAATAAATCTTTATTATGATTTAAATTAATAGATGTAGATCATAGTTGTCAATAAATTTATTTTTAAATTTTTGAAGTTTTAGAAGAATATGATTTGGTTAACAAAGTCTAACTTTAGATAATGCAAATGCTAACAATAGAGCTGTAAATTTTCTTAAACTAAATTTTCCTTTTTATGACAATTTGAAGTTTTTTCACCAATGTTGTGCATGTCATAAAAAGTGATGTGAAAAGAATTAGAAATAATATTGATAGAATTAGGGATTGTTTAGCTTGGATTACTAGTAGTAATAGAAGAAATTCAAAATTTAAAGATGCTTGTAAAACTTCAAATTTGTCTCCTAGAACTTTTACATTGACATGCCAGTTAGGTCAAATAGTATTTATTTAATGTTTGATTCATGTTTACCTTATACAAATTAATTAGTTATTTTGTAGCAAATAAGAGGGGTCCTCATTTTTTGGTAGAGAGTGATTAGCATATAGCTCAAAAATTTCATTCTTTTCTTAAAACTTTTTATGTTGCCACTTTAAAACTTTCTGGTATATATTATCCTACTAATCCATTGATAATACATACAATTTTAGAAATTTCAAATTTATTTGCTCGAAACAGAAACAATGAAATTTTAGCGGGTCCAATAGAAGCAATGGAATTTAAATTTAAAAAATATTAGAAACTCATTCCTTTTCTTTATTGTTTAGCTGTCATATTTGATCTTAGGCTTAGATTGGCGGGTTTAGAACAAGTTTTAGACATGTTAAGTGAAAATTTACAAGAAGAAGACTATGCTAATCAACTGGGACAGATAAGAGAGTGTCTTAGAGAGGTATATTTGTAATATGAAAGCAGGTATGGGAACCAGCGAAGAGACGCAATACCTGAGGAAGAACCAACAGAAGACACAAATGCAGACTTCGACTTCTGGAGTGCAATTGATAGGCGGAAGAAGACTTGAACCCGAAGCACATCCACCTCTTCAGAAGCATCAACAACGAATATAATCTCCTCCATGCAATTACAGAGTAACGAGCTTCACCAATATTTGGGAACAACTGACTTGCTACCAGCAGATCCACAAGAAAGAGCCAACTTTGATTTCTTAAATTATTGGAAAACCAAAAAATATATTTTTTTGGTACTATGAAGACTTGCCCTGGATGTTTTCTCTGTTCCTATTTCTACCGTCTCATCCAAAGAAACATTTAGTACAAGTGGAAAATTTTAAATGAAAAGAGGACTAAACTTTCACCAAAATTAATTGAAGTCCTCACATGCCTTCGAGATTGGGAACGATTGCGCTATCAAGATCAATACGAGGTTGTCAACGATACTTTAATAGAATCATTTCAATTTTGTAATTTAGATGATACAGATAAGGGAGATCCTAGTCAACCCTCAAATTAGTTGTTTTGTAAATTGTAACTTTGTAATTTGCAAATTAACTGTCAATCATTGCACTCTTTTTTTCTTACCAAGTTTTTATCATAATTGAGTTTTTCTTGGTAAGGTTTTTAACGAGGTAATAATTGTTGTAATTTCTTATTTTTTATTTTTTAATAAATGAATAAATCTAATTTTTCTTATATTACAATTTAATTATATTAAAATTGAATTAATATTTGAAATGTTAACTAAAAAAAAAATTAATTTAATTTAATTGAAATTTGAAAAGTTAACTAAAAAAAATTACACAAAAGACAAAAACATTAAAAAATAAAAATTAATTTTTTTGATGGGCTGGCCGGCCCGCACAACAACCCACCAGGTTAGGGTTACTGAACCAGGCCGGGCTGACCTTTTGAAAAAGAGGCGGCCCGACCTGCAAATTGGCCAGGCCACTTTTCCACCTTTAGATGGAACAATAAATAAATATTTAGTTAATCACAAATTATTTGGATTTGGGACTAATTTTTTTCATGAATAATACTAAATGTATAAATTCATTATACAAACTAGCACTTTCTCAAGTTTTTTTAGCGTTGATGTTATGAAAAACAACTTAATGTAACAAGTCTCAATTCATTTAAACATACAGTGCTCTAGTTTGAATTTCTTCCACTGTTTTAAACCCGGACTGGAGGGCAACCCGTTCTGTTGCCTGGGTCATGATTCAACCGGTTGGACCGGTGACATCATCACACAGCATGCTGAGCACATTTAAAAAAACCTGTTTAAATCGATAATTTGTGTAAATAATAACCAGTTATTAGGGAGTAGACATCTTCTAATTTGTGCAAATAATAACCAATTATTAGAGAAATTAAAATATGGCAAAATACCCAAAAAGAAAAATTAAAAAAACCATTGGATTCTAAAATAATCTCACCACCACTAAATCAAAATCCCCAATTCTCTTTCAAATAACAAACCATAACCACCACCACCACTGTCTATCCTCTTCCACCACCACTCACAACCTCATTGCCAATCTCAACCATCGCCTATCCTCTTCCTCTTCCACCACCACTCTCAGTTGAAATGCCCATTTCCCTCACAGCGAAATGTGAAGGAAGAGGATAAAACCACTCTCAACCGCCGCCGTCCCCTCCCTTCCCAATCAGTCACACCACCTTCCTCTTCCTTCACAGCAAATGATGCCACTGTCCACTCCCTTTCACTGTGAGTGACGCTATCATTCTCTTCCCTCGCCGTGAGCAACGTCGTTGTCCTCTCCCCTTGTAGTGAACGATGTTGTAGTGCTCTACCCTCACTATGAGCGACGCCATAACACTGCCGCCCTCTATCCCTCCTCAGCTAGATTTCTAGTGAGGGAGGAAGACTTCGTCGATTTCCGGCGAGAGAGTTCAATTGCGATTTGGTGAATGCCGAATGGTTGCAATTTCATACTTAGGGAGTGGAGTTGATTGCGATTTGAGTGGGATTTCAAAGAGAAATTTTCGAAGCGAAGCTGAGAAATCTGAGAAATTTTAGTAGAGAAACTGAGAAAGAGAAGAAGCTGAGAAACAGAGAAAGGAAATCAATGGAATGGGCTGTGCGATAGTGCGTTTGTGTAAGGTTAGGGGTATTTGAAATCAGACTGGTTTATCCGGATTCATTGACTTTATCTCGGTTTTGACCGGGTTAAAGCGGTTTAATGCATAATAACGGGTTTAATATTGACTCGAACCGGACGTGTGACCGGTTCCCGGTCCAACCAGTTGGACCGGCCAGTCCGGTCCGATTTTTAAAACAGTGATTTCTTCACCCTTTTTTTTTTTTGTTGATGTCCGAGCTAACTTGTGGTACCTTAACTAATCTTTCGAGGCCCTGAAGTTGACAGCTGGATAAATCCTCTAAGGCTACCCCTATTAACAACCTATGTGGATCGAACTCAAGACCTCTTAAGTAATACACCCAAAAATCCTAGTTGACCGCTTGCCACTGAGTGATGGTTATCCTCACCCTTATTTTCACCTGCACTACATGCAATACATGTTGTGAAGGATTAATTGGGCTGTTCAAACTTGGAAGAGTTAAATGAAAGAACATTGATGAAGGATTGATTGACCGATGTTGATTTGGTTAAAATCAAGGAAATATTAATTAAAACTTCATCACATTACCTTAATTTATCGTTCGTAAAGTATGTGACGAAAGAAAATCTACATTAACCAGAATTACAAGGGAGATCAACAATAATTATATTTTCGAAAAATTTACTCATCTCTAATGCCAAATTCACTGGTGATTTCATTCATAGATCATAAAGTATAGGTTCGCCGAGCAGTTATCACATAGTTCTGATATTACAAAGGTTTATTACTTGAAGAATGAAAGAAAAGACATCTGCTGAGGCACATTACTTCAGAGGGAGCTTGCTGATAGAAAGAACAACATTGCCAATGTTAAACCTTCAGATGCTGCATAAATGAGAAGCGTGGACTTATCGGTACTGGGGTGCCAGTTCGCCTGCCTTCACTATGTAATTTTGTTCAGGGAAATCTTGTCCCTTGAAGTACCTCTCAAGCATATCCTTAGTTCCGGCAGCATATCGCAACTGTAAAATTTCACATTATTTCACTTGTGAGCCAAAAATGAAACAGAGAAGCATGAATTCAGCAAGAATAAAAGAGCTGAGAAGTATATACTTCACCTCTGGATACTGACACCGTATAAATGAGTTATGACATAAACTATCATTCTTTGGATATGGGAATACAAGAGCTATAATAAGTAGAACTTTTAACTAGGTGAAGGTTAACCTTGACTGTCAAAATTGCCACATCAGAATGAAATATTTTAAGTCTGATTTTTTAGATCAATACCCATTAATACCCGTGAAATGGAAACTTTGATAAATAAAATACCTGTGCATCAATAGTTGTACCCGAAACATGAGGAGTCATAGCGTGATTTGGCATGTAACGCCAAGGGTGGTCCTTTGGAGCTGGCTGTGGATTCCAGACATCACCACTATAACCTAAAAATGTGGTAAAAAAGAAAACCATTAGATAAAAGAGAGGATTGGCACGCCTTCTTTTTAGTAAATGTAACATTGATATTCAAGAACTCCTCTCTGAGAGTATGGAGGAATGTCTTTTGATGGAATAAATAAATAATTAAAAGATAAAAGAAAACAAACAGGATGCAATATCTTATATGTGTAGCACACCAGCTTCACAAATGACATAAACTAACTTATAAAAATTACCTCCAATGTGTCCACTTGAGCATGCATCAACGACTGCTTGAGTATCCATGATGGCTCCTCGAGCATTGTTAACAATCATGACTCCCTTCTTCAACTTCGCGATCCTATTTTTGTCAAACATTCCTCTGCGACAAAATGAAAATGTTGGACATAGCATAAAACCTAATTGACCAAAAGAATAAATATGCCATATTTAATTAGAAAACAATATTAGTTATTGTCTATCATATAATCTATATTTAATTAGAAAACAATATTTGTTATTGTCTATCATATAATCAAGCTCCTTAACCAAAATTGAATCATCTGCAAAGAAGAAGTGGCAGTGAACAACCTCAATAATGTATGCCAACCTAGCAGTCAAAGATTAGTTAAGATTCAATTTAGTTTTATTTTTTTAAACCAAAAAAAAAAAAAAAAAAAAAAGACAGACATTTGGAAAAGCTAAGTTTGAAAAAATCAGACCGGGAATATCAATTATACCTTGTTTTATCAGTAAGAGGCATGTTGATGACAATTACATCGCATTTGGGAAGCATTCTGTCAACATCCTCCACAAATGTTGCCCCAATCTGCTTCTCCAATTCTGGATCCATTTTCAGCCGGTCATGATAGAGGAGATTACAATTAAAAGGTTTCAACCGTTGGAGTAAAAGCCTGCCAATACGTCCACAACCAACAGTTCCCACTGTCTTCCCCTCAAGATCGTAAGCTCTATAAGAAACACCTGCAACATTCCATTCCCCACTGACAATTTGATGGTATCCAGGTAAGAAATTACGGAGAAGAATAAGGATTCTCATGAGCTCATCTTCTGCAACTGAGACTACATTGCTTCCAGTGACCTCTGCAACAGTTAAACCAGCGGCAGCAGCAGCTGGTAAATCAATATGATCAGAACCAATTCCAGCAGTGAGAAGAAGTTGCAAATTTTTGGCTTTCTTGATCCTTTCTGCTGTAACATAGGCAGGGTGGAAAGGGGTTGATATGAGGACATGCGTATCAGGAAGATGTTTCTCAAGTTCTGCAACAAAACCACAAAAATGAATATCAATAAATTTTGCCAGGAAGCTTCCCACATCAACTACTTGACTGCATAAGGAAACCACCAATCAGTATGCTTCAAGGTATCCAAGGAATTATAGTTCTTATATAAACCATTAAGCAGTGATATTAAAATTTGAATGATTTACTCCAGAGATTGAATTCATGATTTCAAATGAGGCCTTCCGGTCAGCCAATCAATCTCAATAGTTGCTCAAAAAACAGAATGATAGGAAAACCTTATAAATTGCATAGCAAGGTGGCATCTGTATACAAGCTTATTCACATTCTTTCAAATTATGATGTTTACTATCATTTTGCTTAAAGGTACTTCAAGTCAAAATACTAACCACAGTTTGGTCCTTCTTTGTCATCAGTGACAATATACTGATGACCTTGCGATTCCAGCCAGTCACGAATACCCAAAGCATTCTCCGTACAACCCAAAAAGTTAGGATTCTTTGAAGCATATTCATCGGCCTTGTAAAACACCCCAACAATCTTCTTGCTTCCAGAAGAAGCCTGTTTGCAATCAAATAGAGGAAACTTGATTAAACAAACCATAATAGCAGAAATAGAAGAAATGCAAGTACAATGAATTAATCAGTTAAATGTAATAGGAGTCCAGCTCCAGCATACATCAAAATCTCATATTAGATATTTCTTCCACTTCTACTGCAAATCATGCTGGTTATGCAATTAATCTGCCATTGCTCATTATCTCATAAATTAAACTGGTACAGTCTTTCAGTACCTCTCTTAATTTGTGAAGAAAACTCTTCTAAATGTATCATTAGGTTCCATGAATACATCGAATTAGCAATGTTTGGAGCTGAATACAACAAGAGACATCAAATAACGAAGAACCACCAGATTCTAAACATTAATAATGAAGGCTTGTAAAAACATACAACTTACTTGGACTAGTTTATATGATCATTAATTCATCACTTTTAGTGGTGAACAACATAGCAAATTGCAGAATAGCTGGCATCTAAATAGTTTCAGCATCTTAACGACTAAAATTAACTTGAAAATCATTTCAGGCAATCATCCTACTGTATAAACAATAATCAATAGCATGTTGCAATTATATAGTTAAAAAAACTGCAATGAAATTCAGGGGAAACTTTCATCAACTTCCGATCAAGTCGGTTAAAATACAGACCGATCCAGTTTGTTTCTAAATTCTTCATAATCCTCCCCTGAGGCTGAAATTCATTAAATTTATCAAGAACTTCCCTCTGCTAGAACTGGTCTTTGAACCCCTAAAATTTCACAAAACCTCAGGGAGATAAATAAAAGTTACCAGAATCAACTGATTTAGTCTGATCAGCCACATGAGATCGACATGCACAGTGAAAGTCACTCTTTACACATGCAATTGTGCCAAATCCACCCACCCGTAGGCCCTTGGCTTGACCCATCATCATCATCCTCATCATCCACCACTTCGATGCATGCAAAATTTAAATTATCTTTTCCCCTCAAAGACTCACAATCCGATCACCGACAATTAATGAAAAAAGAAAGAAATCATGTAGACGAGACTAATTTTTATACGAAATAAAACTAATTGCTTACATGCGCTTGTCTGCTGAAAACCGTTGACGAAGAAGCTAAAGCACTGATCGCAGAATTAGCTACACGCTTCATGGCCATATCTGATTTCTCTTTAGGTTCGAAATAATTTTTATCTGATCAGTGATCTCTGCTCTGCCACTCTTGTGCTTATATACTACCAACCAAGAGTAGTGATTAATTTTGCGTTGCTGTAAAGGAGAAGAGAACGTTTTTTCTTTCTTTTTTTAGTTATCAAGAGAAGAGTACACTTGTATAATTATTGCCGTTTCATTTCTGCATTGAAAGAGATGTGATTGGTACGTACATCTTACATTCAAATTACGCGATTGTTATTGCCATGCATTAAGCTCTCGAAATAATGCTGAGGGGGGCCCCACGCACTCGCTTCTATCCGTAATTGGGACCCGACGGCTACCAGCTTTACGTGGCGATTGGAGAATTCCAATTTGTTTGTCTCCCTTCCAGCTCACTTTTAACGTGGCGAATTTCAATTTCTTCTTCTCCGTTCCATCTCACCTTTGAGTACACTATTTATTTATTTATTTTTAATGCGATGATTTTTCTTATCATTTTAAGATATGTCCTTAATTTTATTTTATTTTTATTCTTATAATATTTAAATGGATATTCATATAAAGGGAAGTTAGTAATCTGTATCCAGAAATGATTCGCATGCATATTTTAAGGTGCATTATTGTTTGTATTATTTGACTAATGCACCTTTTCNTCCGTTCCATCTCACCTTTGAGTACACTATTTATTTATTTATTTTTAATGCGATGATTTTTCTTATCATTTTAAGATATGTCCTTAATTTTATTTATTTTTTATTCTTATATAATTCTGTCCCGGGCCATGAACTTCAATATCTGCACTGAAATTCATTCTTATAGGATTAAGATAATTTATCAATCAATAAATCAACTTATACTGGATTGTTATTCTGTCACTAGAAGTCATTAAGTCTTCTAGCCCTAAAGTATGAATTTGAAGAATCATAATCCATTTAAGATTTGGATCCTAGAGACTAACCATATATCATGGTTTAGCAGTCCCATAGGCATCTCCCAAAGCCAGGTTAGCGTGAAAACCGCCAGCTAAAACTTTTCCAAACGTAAGCCATCGTCTGTCCAGTAAAGCAACCTGAACAGGTACATTCATTCTTCCACGAAATAATCCTTGTACACGTATTTGTACAACATCAAGTTGTACATAATTATACTTGCTATTTGCCCGTTTGGCAAGATTTCTAACCTTCCGTAGCCACTCATCGTTCAAGAGTACCAATTCACCTTCTCAAGACTGAGATAAAACTACATGAAGCAATAGTATATTTTTCAAATGAAAACAAGTCTTATTCATACAGACTTCATCATTAGAATCATTATTCATGCTATAGAACTTTCAACAGGTTAATAGGTCTAGATTCTCCCTTCTTCCAAAGCTCTGACACCATTTACACCCCCATAATATTTGTTATACCTAGTCTAACAAATATTATTACAATTAATAACTAAACAACTTAGTTAATTAATAGGAGAGAAAAACACATATATTTAGTTTTAAAGATTAATTCATACCTGGGTATCAATCTTCTTGAATGAACTTTTTTTTCTTTGCTTCGAGTTTGCAATTCAAAAGTAAAGCAAGAGATTGAAAGAATGATTTTTTTTCACAAACTGAAAATATTATTAATTTTTCTCTGATTAAAATTGTACATAAGCTTCTTCTTATATAGAGAAGTCCGGATTTCAAATGAATTAAATTCGTGAAACAATACAAAACAAATCAAAACAAAGATAATGACATTGGGGTTCACATGTCTCCCACATGTCATACAAAAAAAATTATTACATCTTTAATCATTACAAAAGACAAAACATAATTATTACAAAAGACAAAACAAAATATAATTATTACAAAAGTCAAAATATAATTATCATAAAAGACAACATTCAATGCCTTCTTTTAATCTAGATCGTTGACTTCTATCGGCAAAATCCTGGATGTTCACGCATTATTTTTCGCTTGTTTGATACACGTCAGCGTATTATGTGTTGGACATTTTCGGTTGTCCAAATCTTCATCCTCTAGATTTTATCAGTCTTTGAAGTTATCCACTTCTATAAAATCAATAAAATCTTTAAGAATTTCATCTTCTTGGGCTTTCTAGTCTTGGGCTAAGACCATCCTCAGAAGATCAATAATACCTTCCATTAAAGCTTGCTTTGGTAGATGGGCTAAATCAAACCCTTCTAATAACGTTTTTAACTAAGCTTGGTTATGCTTGAAGAGTGTATCCTGGATTGTCGCATACCTGTCTGGTAACACTACCACTATCTTATTATGGATATGGACAATAGCATTTGCTTTAATAAGCTCTTCCAGTTTGGATTTAACCAATAGCAATTTTGCAATATGCAGCCTGGGCCAATCTTCCTTTTCTTTCCTTTGAATTTCTTCTAGTGCATAAGAACTCATTTTTACCTCGTTATCTAGCATAATTCGATACCATGGTTCTCCTATAAGAAATTCTCATATCTGAACAGGTTGAACATTATAGTTCTCTTGCAATGAGGAAATAATCATGCAAGTAAAAGTGTCGACCTTTCGATTCAATACACAGAGCGTTTGCTTAACCGCGTCTGGCATATTCGAGTCCACCATCGCTTCCTATACTTCAATTTCCATTGTATCGATCCATCCTCTATCCAAAAGGTTTTTACAATAACCTTTTCTAAAGATTTTCCATGGAACGTACAATTCCATAGCGCCATTAGGATAAACTACTAATCCTTGGACTAAATCTGCCAAGTCAGTTTTTCCTCAATTCACTATTAGATTATTCAAATTCTCGAGTTGAGATTTACCATGTCGAACAAATGACATTTTCTCATTACCTCGAGTGTTTTGAATTCCTACTTCATAAAGCAAAGCAGTTCCTCTAAACTCATCGTCCTCATAAAACAGTTTATCAGCTTCCAGTCATGCTAACCTTCTTGCTAGCTTCTCTAAACACCTCTGCAGTTGTACTTCCCCTTGACATGTCGCTAATGCGATTCTAATTTGGGTTTCCAAATCCTCCCAGAGTGTTTGACTAGCTGAAGTTAATCTTAAGCTTTCTGGAAAGCTAAACCTCTCACAAATATCTGCGTCAATTAACCGCTTTTTTTGTGGAGTGTGTGGAATCACCACGCTTGCAGCGCCTGATGATAAATCCTTAGAAATTTTTGTCTTTGGCTGTGGACAATTAGCCCGTTCATGTCCTTCCTGTTTACAAGACCAGCAAACTATTGCTTTTTTCTGAGTTTTTTGTTTTTCCTTCTTAGGCAAAACCTCATTTTCAGAAGTAATTTCCTTCGTAGAAGTACCCTTCAATCGTTGAAATTTCGAGTTCCTTCTTTCCGAAGTATCAGAGTCATAATCTCGACTCTTTCCTTCTCTAACCTGCTTTGCTGCAGTGGCCTGCTTAGGAGTAGAGATCACCTACTTATCCGTAGCCTTCTCCTTTTTAGTAGTAACCTTTGAAGCCGAAGTTATTTTCAAGGGACAATTCCTTCTCAAGTGTCCTTGTTGTCTACACTTGGAGCATGAGAAGTGATTTCCAGTTTCCTTCATGTCCACCATTATCTTGTAATTCTTCAGAGAAATGTCTGGACAAAAAGTCAGCAACAAAGTTAGATTTACCTGAAATATATTCAAATTTGATTCTATAATTTGCAAACTAAATCTAGCATCTGATTAGTCTAGCTTTGTCATCCTTTAAAGAAAGATTCATAAAAGTTTTTAAATATTTAGAGTTTGTCCTTAAAGTAAATTCTTGACTGATTACGAACAATCGAAATCGATCGATACATTCTTTCACTGCTAAAACTTCCTTTTCATGAACAAGCTTTTACTAGCACGTATTAATTACTTTTCCAGCAATTCCGGTATTTGCTTGCTAAATTCCTCCTCTGCATTAGGAGTATAACGATAAGATTTGGTAGTTATCATATCATCATCCTTCCTTAATTTAAGCAAAGCATATATACCGATCCTTTCCCATAACTTTAATGGTTGATCATCAAAGCATGGAGAAGGTTCCTCTTTAAAGGATTTTACAAGCTTCTCAATCCTTAAAGAGTTCTTTTGGCGTTTATTTTCAATCTTTAAGATTTTCTCCTTATGTGTGAAATTATCCAAGCTCTCAGGGCATGCTCCAGAGGGACCAACCTCTTGCGATATACCCTATGCGATCCGGTTTGTATGATGACTAGGATACAATCTCTGAAAGAAAACATTACAAGCCTCATCCACTTCTTCTACTTCAGAAGTTTTCAACCACCATTTTTCCTTTTCCAAAATTTGGAAAACAATGTGATCTACTTCTTGAGTTAGTTTCACCAGTGTAAAATCGTTTCTAACTTTTGAAACTTCAGGCTTAATGAGAATAGGGATTTTATGACCTCCAAGGATAAAGTGGTCGTTATCCTGAGTAAATGGTCTAACTTTTGCTTGCCCTCGTAGAAAGCTATTCCCAAGAATAAAATCTACTTTGTATCTAGAAATGATTCGCATGCATATTTTGAAGGTGCATTATTGTTTGTATTATTTGACTAATGCACCTTTTCTACTTCAAAATAATATAAATTTGACCATTTTTCATTATCTTACAAAGATTCAGTGTATAAATTACAAAACACAAATAAATGAAAGAAATCGATATAAAAACTAATTCCATAAATTCTTAACAATAATGGACAATATGATAAGGTTGGGTATAAGAATTTTAATACATAATTATTTATACTTTCTTATTTTGTAATAGTGAGACAAGGTCAAACTATTTAAGGATAAAGAAGTCGATATTGTGAAGCGGTGGGGAGATAATATTTCAGTAAAAAATAGGGATCTTTACTTTAAACCCTCAGTGCGTTTGGTTCGAGGTCATATGATATTACTTCGGTAATCTTCGTTTAATTTTTAAGATTCTGTTGTTTAGTTTGCAAGTAATAAAATATTACGGTAATCTTTTGTTGCAAATAATGTTTATTGTTGGTAATATATGAGATAATCAGATTACCTTGTCAATCGGTGTTATTAAAAGATTATCGAGGTAATATGATTTTTATACCTATTTTGCCCTTAATTAAATACCATTTCGGACACAATTGCCCTCAAATGTCTACCAAATAACTATTACCCAAACCCGAATCTTTGAGAATTTAGCTAAAACACCATAGTCACAAAAAAGTTTAAAAGTTAACAAAATACGCC